CTGCTTCCATGGTATTCACAAAGCCCCTGTTCCCTGGCTTAACCGCTTCTGAAGGCAGGGGACTACAAAACCCATACACTCCCTTGAGAACAAGAACTGCTGGGGGTGTGGGTCGAGAATCAAGGGACTTCCAGTTGAAGGCTGAAACCAGAATGGCAGCACCTAAAAAGTCGGGGTCTTTTTGCAAACACGCACGGACTTTCTTACTGCAAGCTTGCCACCGGCTTTGAAGGCAACCTACAGCTGATTCATCAACTCTTCATTAAGTTTACGAAAGCCACACTTTTTTCATGAGGACGGCACCCATCTTGGTAGCAATCAGACTTTAAACGCATTTTTTAAAAGACACCCTTTTTCCTTCTCCAGAGAGGAGGGAACCCCCCTCAAACTGGACCCTAAACCATTTTAATTTGTCTTTAAAAACAGCTGATTCAGTACCAGCAACAATCTGAAATTGGCTAGTCTTTTTTTTAAGGGTTAAATGAGCCAGTTTAGGATTATTTAATATTATGTCCACCTAATTTTCACAAAATGCTCGGAGCCGCTGGTGCATATGAGGTACCGTCAGAAGACCCTCAGAAAAAGGACATGCAAATATTAAAAAAAAAGAACTTCAAAGAGCTGCAGAGAACACCTTGACTCTTTGTTGGCAATGCCTTCTTCTGCAATTTGGTACACAAATGCTTCTTCCCAACTTCTCAACTGCAAATACAGAAAAGGAAGGATCCTGCCTCCTAGAAGTTTAATGCATTTCCTTCCAATCTGCACCCAAAAGGTGAGAGGTAATAGGAAGATAGGCTGTCTTCTGAATAAAGAACAGCAGGCAATTATAGACAAATCAGTCTTTTTTCCAAGCTAAGCCCTATGAGTTTATTCCCTGATTCTCAGCTCCTCAAAGCAGAATCAAAACATTATTTATTCACTGCAAGTGCATTAACAAACTGGGTATCGAAATAGTCAGACGCTCTGAGAAATAGCCAATCGTTCCTGAAAGAGCTCTTCACCGCACTCCTGTATGAGTGTCTTTCTACCCTGACCAGCCAACTCCTAATACAAACTGGAAATTCCTCCAGGTTTCTGCATATTCTAAAACTGAGCTAGACCAGAATCAGCGTAGCAGATTAGCTGTTCCTCAGAGGCTAACCGTTGCACCCCTGTGTGTCCAGCTCTTAGCGAAACCCCAAAGGCCAGACAGGCATGCTGCAGGCTCGTAACCCACCACATTATTGAAAAATAATTTCCCCCCCCAATGCTCGTATCCACAGCAGGGTCTGGCCTTCATTTTAATTCAGGAAAACCAAAAAGACTGCTTTCAGAAGCATGTGCAAAAAGGCAATTTTTACATCAAGAGATGTAATTGCTCAATTTCAGGCCAAGTCACCCTACAATGGAAAGAAAGAAAAAGTTCCTATAGAAAAAAAAACCCAAATGAGCACATTTTTCACATTCCAGAGAGATCTTGTCAGACCAAGAAAGTGCCAGCCCAGTTTAACTCTTTCACAAAAACTGCTTCCCCCTCCCCTCAGTCTTTTCCCATCCTGAACATTTTCCTTCACCAAGCAACAAAAATACTAATATTTTCCTGCGGGCCACGTTATTCCCATAAACTCGGTCTCTGCGTGATTTCAGCCACAACCAGGCCACAAGCCTCCGTCTGACGTTTTAACATTTCTATGGAAAATTCACCACAGGGTTATGCCCCACATCCTTCCGAGCCATTTTTGACTATTCTACACCAAACATTACTGATTTTGGTTAAAAAAATCATAATGTCTTGATTCATCATCTTTTATTTTAAATTATGAACTGTTAAGGAAATACTTAGTGACTCTGGAGCAAAATAACCAAGTCAGCGTTAGATCTAATGACTGTTTTCGTACAGCAGGATAAAGCTCGGTCTGCTTTAACCTGTGTGCGTGTGCGTGTCTGGCTTAGTGTGATGTGTGAATCCAGCACACTGTGTTGGCTTATGCTTCGATATGCTGTGGGACTGCAGAAAACGGGTTAAACACAGCCACTCCCCTCCCACCAGCCTGCCTCTTAGGGTTGTGGTGAGGATAAAATCGGTGGACAGTGGTGGAGGAAGGGTAGAGTGCATTTCTAACAATAAATATATATATTAAGTCAAATCCAGTCTCAGCAACTTCATTCAGTTTGGCATCACCTTTTTGCTAGCATATTTTGTCCACTGCCCCGTCTAGCCTACCGCCCTCGGATTTCCTAGTGGTCTTCCATCCCCACGCTCAGCAAGATCCAATGTCAGCTAAATAAATACGGCATACAGGCAGGGCAAAATCTATAGCGAAGCTGTGCAACGTTGGCTTTGCGTGTGAAAAATCTCACCCTGACACCCCTGGCTTTTCGAGGAACCTCGCTCCCAGCAAGACACGGCCCGTTGGGGTAAGCCACGCTGGACGGCACAGCACAGCTCAAGGCTCCGGTCTGACGTTCCTCACCCTCTAAGCCTTGCAACAATCCTAGAAGGTAGGCCCGAATTGACTGCCTTGTCCCCAACGGACCCTTTCCGTAGCATCCAAAGAGCGTCATCTCTGGCCATTTCGGCGCCGACTCCTTTCCAAGCTGGTTTGAATCCACTCTGCGCGCCCACACGCACCCGGGTTGTGCAAACATGAACCAGGAAGGGCTGCCCTTCGATGCCCAGCGCACGTGGGCTGGCGGGATGCAGCGCTCCTGCGCTTCCTTCTCCCCACTCCAGCGTAGAGCCTCCGTCCCCTGCCTTTGGAGCGGTGGGGGGCCGATACATCGGGGCATAGCCGGTGGTCCGCCTCCGTCCGCGAGAGCCCAACTTTTTAGTCGGGAGTCTTCTATTACGTCTGAACCGACTGCATTCTGACGCGTTTGATAGCGCGCGAATCGAGGAAGGGGGGGGAATAAATCAAACGGGGAGGTTAAGAAAGCACGTCGAGTCCCTCCCCCGAGGTTGCAAGAAAGCAAGATCCGCCTCTGGGCCTCAGCTGGAACCGTGTGGGCCCCCCCCTTTTTTTCCTTCTAACACCCCGATCGGGAGAGAAATGCACGTCGGTTTAATGAAGGGGCATGGATAGGAAGCACGCACCGCGCACGGCCTTACCTTCGCGCGATTTTATAAAGCAGGACTCCGCCGGCAGCGGCGGCGCACACGGTCACGCCGAGGCCCCCGGCCAGGCCGCGAGAGTAAGAAGCCAGCAAGGCGCCGACGCCTTCCATGGGAGAAAACGGGGAGGGAGAGGGGGGAAAACGAGGCAAGGGAAACGGGATCGCAGCCGCCGCCGCGGGGGGAGCAGGAGCGGAGGCAAAAAAAAAAGAACCAGGCGAAAAAAAGGCGTCGCCGCCGCCTCGTGCGGGGAGAAAAATAAAAAATAAAGGTCCCGCGTGCGTCGCAGCCGCCG